TGTGAAGACAATTATTCTGTCTACAGTGAAAGATATAGTTTCTTGAGTTTCCAAGTGAAAGATTAACTTATTGTGTAGTAAGTTGAGTTGAGATGAGTCAAGAATTGACATCACAGCACTCGGGGACTTCACATTAGTGCTTCGTCCTCATCTTCAGCAGCCAGCGCAGAGTTCCAAACTGATGGTACCAGTCACAATCTGGTTATATGTCCGTCTTGCCTTTTCTCTGAGTGTAGTGAGCTGGCCAGACCCTCTAGTTCCATCTAGGTGCCTCATTCTCTTCAGGCCATAATAATCTTTTTATTCTGTAGCAAGTGGCTCATCATATGTTTATTACTTCCATCATCATCAAATGACTTGCTGACGACTAGCATGAGTGATCATACCTCTTCACCGTTTGTGATCCTCAACAGCATGCATCAGTTCATGTGCTGACACCCCTCCATGCCATGACAAAAAACTGTCAAAAATCTGCTCATGTTGTCCTCCTTAATATTTTTTTTCTCCTACAGATCTTTCCCAGTAGTCACAACATGTTCTTATTTCTTTCTTCTTATCACATAACCTCTCAAAAAATTATGATTGTCTCCTTCTGACGTTTGTGTTAAAGTTTCTTGTGCCATCACTTCTTTCTAAACATCTGAGTTGCTGTTTGGTATTGTTAGGTTTTTTTTCTGTCCAAAGAAATTTAAGAATTGTGTGTGTGTGTGTGTAAAACAACATCTCTGAAGCCTTAAGGAGTTATTTGGCTTGTTTAAGGGCCTGATTTACAAGGGAAAATACAGCAGTGCTTTCCCGGTGCCTTCTGTTGGTTTATGTATGGTTTAACTCCAAAAGCCTTTATATAAATTGACTAACCCTGCAAGGCAGCAGGTAAGAGACTTTATAATGGTGCCTCTTACTCACCGATGGACATGTCACTGAGTTTTGAGACATTTGATAGAGTTAGCTGTCCACCAACTTGCCTCTTCTCAACGGTCATAAACTGTGTTGGTCCATGGCCACTTATGAAATATATTCGTGGCTAACTGCTATATCTAGAGGTCACTCCACTATCCGGTTAACGCACCTAGTAGTAGAACTACCTTTAGGATTCATTCTGTACAATTCAAGATTAGAATGCTTGCCTGGCAAGATAATGGTCCTTGTTCAGTCTTCCAGAGATGCTGGCTTTTTTTTTTTTTTAAACCAGTAAGGCTCGAGGTTAACCATCCTTATAAAAAATGGGTGCTGGACACTATTATGAATATTCTGAGAACTGCCTGGTCAGTAAATGTGATATGGAAAAGAACTGGTCAGATGCCTCATTAATTAATCATTAGAAATGTGAAGACCTAATATTTCACACACCATTGACAGTATCTAGTTTTTCACTACCTTTGTCTTTACTTAAACCAATTGTTAATTTCATTTATCTTTACTTTTACCAATTGTTACTTTAACTCTGTGCTATTCTCATTCTTTTAAATCTAAACATATATCACTTTAAACTAAATTTATTCCCGTTGTGGTTTTTTGTGTGTGGTTGCCGGGGGGGTGGGGGGGGGGGGGGGGGGGGGGGGGACAAGCCGTTTGGGAATAGGTCCACTGCCCCTTAATAAGCATTTCATAAAAAATTAAATAATTAGGGGTGTTTCCTAGTCTGCATACAAGTATGCCAGATTAGTAAAACGAAAATGCATGTAAAAACTCAATTTTTAGAATAAAACTAAAGTCTAGAAATGGACGAACAACCATTAATTTCCACCAGTCTTTAAAACCAGTAGATGCTAAGAAGAAGAAACTAAATATCACCTCAAACGTCTGCTTATTATATAAAATAGTTAACAATTGCCAGAAATGTGTATATATTTTATCTCATTAACAAAGAAAAATTGTGTACACTTTATTATTTGTATGTATGTTTTCGAGATAATATTTGTTCACTATAGGGCGAAGGAGTTGCATACAGAGGGCGTGCATTATTGCAACTAACAACAACACTGGGAGAGCTACCTGAGAAACATGAAGAAGAAATCCTAGGAGATGACAGGCTTCGTGTGGAGGTAAGACAAATGACTGAGAACTGTCATTTCTTATGACTTTACTTTTGTTGAGGCAAAATTATTCTTAGACTGAAGGGCATTCAGTTTTAATGATATGCTGAATATTGAATGTTGAATTAAGAATCGACATCACAGCGCCCGGGACTCTCCCATAAGTGCTCCATTCCTATCTTCAGCAGCTTGCGAAGAATTCCAATTCCGATGGTACCAGTAATTAATTGTTTATGATGATGTTGGCCAGTGTTTAAATTGAGCATTCCATGTATTAGATATTATTTCTGAGTCCATTTTACGAAGTCTGGTTAAGAGCGAGAGTGACCTCCCTTGCCATTTATGCGTCAAAAGAGCATGATATTGCTTGGTTTGGAGTTCGCTCGCCCTATATAATGCTTGCGGGAGGTTGTGTTGTCATGAGTCTATATTCAGGCACCTCTGTACAACTTAGAAGTACTGCAGGCGCGACGATTCATGAGTTTCGAAGCTGATATGTTTTTATATTTCTACGATCACTCAGAAACATAGGAATAGAAAACTATCACTGTTTCCATACTCCTAAACTGTTGCGCAGGTAGCAGAACTTGAAAATAATCCCGCCAGCGCGCGATGAGTAAATGAGAAAAGAGGGAACTGTTAAACTGTTGACTATAATGTAAACATGAGACCCTTGCAACATATGGGAGGTCCTGAAATCTCTAAAGGCATAAAGGGCAAATGAAATCACTCTTATCCTGGGCCCGGAAACTTAAAATGCACCTATTTCTGTACTTCTATGACTGTGAATATAAAGAAAAAACAAATTTACACAAGTTGTTTTAAAGGCTTTAAAATTCCAGGTCATTGCTTTCATCTATTTCTATTTGTCTGTCTGTCTCTGTCACTGGTCCCCCTCATCCTTTTTTTTTCTCCAGCTGACTCACTAAGAGTTTTATTCATTTAACAGTTTGTGGAAAGGGGGGGGGGGGGGATGCCTCTTGCTTTGATGGTTATTGGTTCGTTTCACAGGCTGCGTAACTGTGTTCTTGGGTGTCATTTTTATTGAGATCCCTAGGGATCATGTACTGGAACTACGTAATTCTTGCTTTATGTGATACTCAGCAGATGACAAGCCATTCTGCAGAGGTAGATGACATGTGTGATAAAATCTGATGCAGTGAAGTCGTTCCTCTTGACTTTGATTTACTTTCTTTCCATTAAACAGTGACTATTGATCTTTGAACAAAATTACTTTCATATTCTCCATTTGAAAAATTCAGCCAGTATAAGTTACTTTATTTTAAAGGTGAATCATTTTTGATGTAAAATAAATAATGCAGCCTTAACTGATAATTTTAAAGTAGTAATTTCTTCCCTTTAAAATAGCCATTGTTGTGCATTTGTGATCAAGAAATTTGCCAGATCAGTGTACAGAATGTTATTATGCTGTGTTTAATGTAATTTATTAATTAGAATGGTGTCCGCCTCAGGTGCTGGAGGTCCCAGGTTCAAGCCCTGTAACAGGCTGGGATTTTTTAAACGTGGACTTCTAGTAATTTTCCCTGGTATCTGGATATTAAGAGTGTGTGTATTCTTGAGCCTGTAAAGAATCCCTTGGCAATTGGAAATCTATAAGCGTAAGCCTAACGGCACTGCCTTGGCAAAATTTGGAGTTAAAAATCTACTCAAAATATTTCAGGATCCTCGCTGGTGCAACAAAGTTCTTGCACTGCGCTGCGTTTCTTCAGAAGCAGGCTTGAGTTAGAAAAAGAACGGAGCACTTATGGGTTTCTATCCTTGTTCCATGGTGTTGATCCTTCCAGTAAACATAAACATAATCTAATTAGTTATAATTTCATATATTTTCTGCAGAAATTCATGCGGAGACGCAAATACAGGGTTCATGCTGCTTTCTACAATGCCAGCATAATAAGTAGCAGCATGATTGATGCTCCTATAGAGTTTGAAGTCAGTATGGGTAAGAAACTTATTAATTATAATATTTGGTGAGAGATATACGCTGAGCATAAATTAAGACAGTCTTTAAAAATAAAATTACTTAAGCTTCCAGTTGACTAGACTTAAAATTGGTAACAGCAAATATTCTGGAAAGTCTTATAAAAATTCACCACCTATTGGTGCAGAACCAGCCAGTCAGTCTGCTTCTTTATTTCCTAACCCTCCTTCGTAAAATGCGCATTATCCGGGACTTCCCCACACCTCACCACTCGTTATGCGAAACGTCGCTCGTTAAGCAAGTCATTCTTTTACAATTTGTTTTGCTCGTTATGCGAATTACTTGCTTTGAGAGGTGCTCGTTAAGCGAGGTTCTACTGTATTTATGTGTAGTACATGGTACTTTTATGTTTAGTACATTTTCTGTTGTTATTTTGGTTTTAATATTCTTTTAATTTAATTAAACATGTGTTGTGCTCAGATATGGACAAAAAACAAAACAAATGCAAAGTTATTGCCAATTGGAGTTTTAAATGTGATAATACTGTATAGGAATAGATGGACAATAGAAACCAAGAAGTAAATAAATTAGCTCATGTGGAAAACTAGTCGATACAAAAGGCAAACAGATACAGAGATATATGTATTCAGAAAGTCTAAACATCTTAGCAGCAAACAGTTTGAACAAACAACACAAAATTCTTTAAAATTTAGGGCAAAAACAATTTGTTTGAGAGTCATGCTCTTTGGGTCTGCTTTCAAGCAGGTACCTGAAAGAAGATTACTTTTTTGAAAGTGCAGGTGTGTGTTGTTTTTGTTTCCACCTATGTATTTTTTCTCTGTTATGAAGGAAATTATGGCAACAAATTGGATGAAAATGTCCCTCCATGTGCTTCCACTACTCAACCAACCAATGCTGTGTTTGATGGAAGCTATTACTACTTTTTACCATGGGCTAATACAAAACCATGCGTTGTTGTCGATTGTTCCTGGGAAGACATCTCGTTTAGACTGGAATCACTGAACATGATGCTGAACATAATGGAGAGACTTGTGAGTGTTTTTCTCTACCTTGGCTTTGTTTATCAGTTTTACTCTAAACCCATCATCATCTTGTGCTGTTTATAGAGCTAGTTGCATATCCTTATAGGATTATGCAGAATCATTTGCAGCATTTTGGAAAGTTTTATTTTAACTGGGCAGTTTTATGTTCAGTAGTTAGCCATTGCTTCCTGAACAGTCAGCACTCTGAATTGCAAAGCATGTTTACAATGCCTAAGCCATATATATATATATATATATATATATCATCACAATTGCAGTTTATTCTTCCATTCCATTCTGTCCTGTGCAAGTTTTTTTGATATCATGAATGGAATCTACTCTAGAATCTTTGTCCTGTCTCATCAATGTTCATCTTAGGCTTTCTCTTGCAAGTCTTTGTTTCCTAATCCTATTGCTTTCCTATTTTCCTGCAGAATCTAGCTTTGCAGCTAAATTTTCATTAGGAAAAGTATTTGTAATGAGATGGGAAGGAATGTAGTTTTTTGCTGTCAATAAAGCAAACTAAGAATTTAAAAAATGTTGTCTAAGAAATTCTTTAACTGTTTTTGGCAACTATCCATTTTCTTGTTGATTTTTTGTTTGTTTTTTTAATCTTCTAAAAGACTGTTTGTGCATTGCTGCTCTGATAATCTCTGATAATGGAAAAGGTTTTCATCATATGGATAGGGGTTGATGGTTGAAAGACCTTTCTTCTGACCTGTCCTAAAGTACCATGTTCAGGCAACTGTTGCAGAACTCCCTCTGTAAACTCAGAAACCAGCAGGATCTTAAAGGCCAGTATTTTCAAGAGAAACATAATATAGTACAGTTCCTTTGTGAGATTGTGTAAAAAACAAATTGTGAAGAGATTAGTTAACGTGAGGTCTCTGTTGTGAAGTGGACAAGCTGTTTACCTCACCCTCTTAAGGTTGTGGGTTTGTTTCATGGCTGTGTCCTTCAGTTCATGACCCCTGGGGATCGTCACCAGAGCTAAAGACTTTGTGCTTTGTAAGGGGATCTTGTCAGGCAGCTTGTTGTTCTGCAAAGAGATACTTAGCCATATGAGAAAAACAACCTCTGCAGTGAAGTTGATCCTTTCAACTTTAATAAATTTAATTATGTAGTTAAATTTACTATCAAATATTGATGTCATAGCACTTTGGGACATGCTCATATTTTCTCCATCTTCCTCAAAAGATGTTGAATCATGCAGTTGCTTGTAGTTTTATGTCTTTTCTGATATGCCATCTACTTTGTCTCCCACCTCTTCTTCCTGCTAGTATCAGTTTTATAATTCCATTAGTCAATGATGCATCTGGTCATAGGTATGTCTTTCAAAAACAGTTAACCTCTTTCAGCCATACACAGTTTGTTTGAATTTCTCTCATTTCTAGTTATTTAAGTCACACCTTTTTTTTCATGTTGGACTTTTAATCAGGTTGCAGTTAGCACTATCTGTGTAGGAACTCTTCATGCACTACTACTGTGGAAAAGGACAAAACATGTATAAGAAAGTCCTGATTGCAGCAGTGTCAAATTCTTATTAATTTATTCAATAATTTCTCTGTCATAAACATATTTATGAACCATCATTCTGCCCCTGATATGTTAATTCCTTCTGGCTTATGATTCTTTTATTTTACATTAATAAAGTGAATCAATTATTCCTTAGCAATCAAATCTGGAACGCGTTCGGATTGGTATCAAGGCCAGACTGCCAGTCCCTGAGCTAGCACAGCTGTTGATTTCACTTCTGGACCAACTTATTTTTGATTGCGAGTGAGTAACCATTGTTGGTAATTTCTAGAAAATAACTTTGACGCCTGCCCTGGTGTAGTGGCTAGACACTTTGCATACAGATCAGAAGGTCGTGGGTTTGGCTCCTGATACAGCCAGGCTTTTGTTTGTTTTGTTTTTGTGTTTTTTTTAAATGATCTTAGCTCTCAGGTCTACCCAGCCTTGAATGGGTACCAGGTACAGTCCTTGAAAATAAAGGTGACCGGCGTGATGCTGACCACATCACCCACCCAATGCCATATTGGTCTATAAAATATAGGTCTAGCCCTATATGCCCAATAGGCCTGAAGGTGGGAAAAAAGTCCTTTACTTTACTTTTTTTTAAACAGAAAATAACTTGAAAAATTTGTAGCAGAAGTTGACATCCATATGTATAAGTTGTGTGTGTGCATGTGTTTTTGAGTATGCACATGTACATGTGTATAAACATACATGTGCATGTAAAATCTTGGCTACAAAAAATATACATGCCTGCATTTTTTTAAGAAGTATTATTTATGGCTTTGCATGCATAAATGATGAACATTGGATGGGGTAAATTCAAGAAATGTGAGGAAATAACAGAAATCGGTTTACAATCCCTGATATCAACAGTTGTAAGACACAGAAGATACCAATATTTTTTTTTTTATTCATGAGAGAAGCCAAAGTTGCTAAATTATATTCCATCCATGATATCGTAAGGTTTGCATAGGATAGAACTATAAACCTTATATGACCTAAATCCTATATGACGTAAATCCTATATGACATGAACCATGTATGACATAAACCCTGTATGATATAAACCCTATGTGACATAAATCCTATATGACATGAACCATGTATATCATAAACCCTGTATGATATAAACCCTATGTGACATAAACCCTATTTGGCATAAACCCCATATGACATAAACCCTATATGACATAAACCCTATATGACATAAACCATATGTGACAAACCCTGTATGACATGAACTGTATATGACATAAATCCTGTATGACAAAAACCCTGTATGACATAAACCCTATGTGACAAAAACCCTATGTAACATATAATGGCACAACAGGATGATTATGATACATAAATATCTGCTAAATTGCTAGGAGAGCAAAACAGAGTAATTATTACAGTGCTGACCAGAAGCAAGCACATACTGTTTTACCAGATGCAACTGCACTAGATGTAAATCGCTTGTCGATTTTGATTACTTTGATGATCGTTTTAAGTGATGATTATTATAAGTGATGGTCATTATAAGTGATGATCATTCTAAGTGATGATAATTTTAAGTGATGGTCATTATAAGTGATGATCATTATAAGTGATGATCATTATAAGTGATGATCATTCAAAGTGATGATCATTATAAGTGATGATCATTATAAGTGATGATCATTATAAGTGATGATCATTATAAGTGATGATCATTATAAGTGATGATCATTATAAGTGATGATCATTATAAGTGATGATCATTATAAGTGATGATCATTAAAAGTGATGATCATTCTAAGTGATGATCATTCTAAGTGATGATCATTCTAAGTGATGATCATTATAAGTGATGATCATTATAAGTGATGATCATTCTAAGTGATGATCATTCTAAGTGATGATCATTTTAAGTGATGATCATTATAAGTGATGATCATTATAAGTGATGATCATTCTAAGTGATGATAATTTTAAGTAATGATCATTCTAAGTGATGATCATTCTAAGAGATGATCATTCTAAGTGATGATCATTCTAAGTGATGATCATTCTAAGTGATGATCATTCTAAATGATGATCATTCTAAATGATGATCATTTTAAGTGATGATCATTCTAAGTGATCATCATTCTAAGTGGTGATCATTCTGAGTGGCATATTTAAAATTATGAAAATGTATATGTGAGGCCTTAGTCAGATATGCAACATTATAAATATTAGTGAACCAGGCTAAAACCTAGATGATTCTTTCTATGAACGTCTCTGTGAAATCTGTAAGGAGGTTGCTATATCTGTCACTCTCCACTTTAACAGCAGTAGTCACCAAGGTAAAGCAGATATTTGTATACCAAATATAATGCCATTTAAAGCCCGGATGAACTTTTTTTCTCTTTATAACATAAAACCTAGGCAGTATTGTAGAGCCCATGTGTTGCCCATTCAATGTGATCTCTCAATAGACCTGCTTTGTTAAATCCAAAGAAAGGGTAACACCAATACTTTGGAATAGTAGCTGTGTGTCTTTTCTTGTCTTTTGCTTCATGTTCACCAGCTGTAAACTTCAGTGGAAATTTCTAGTTGTTCATTCACTTCTAAACTTGAAGTCTTGTTCCAGAACTTGAGTGTTGCATGCACATCCATTTTACAGATCTGGCTTATTTGTGTGCAGAATGTTGGTTCCTGCCACTCAGGCAGATGTACTGCAACTTTGAAGGAAACCCTCTAATTAATTTATTCTTACAACATGCTTGTTGGGGAGGTAGTGGGTCTTTCCTTGTTTTTCCCGATAATAGGGCTTTGGAGCCTACATTGGTAAATTTAGCTATCAGTGATTTGCCATTTCATCTGAACAGTTGGCTCTTGATACCACTATTGACACAAATGCAAAGTGGTTTGCTGCCAAATAACCTGCAGCTGTGATTGAACCCAGCACCTCAGAATTGCATAGCATATTTGCAGTACATAGCCTACAATGTCAACGGTAATACAGCATTTAACAAAAAATATATAACAATTGTTATTGATTTTTTCTGTGTTCAGTACTCCATTGTCCCCTCCCAAAGCCGGGCAGCATTCTAGTAATGAGCTGGATAAACTGACAGAGACTCTCCGGAAAGACACATTACAAACAATTAAAAGTTCAGCTATTATACTACGAGAAAGTGCCACAGATTTGAATGAGGCAGTTGGCGAAGTGGAGCAATATCTTGGCACTATCAAGAATATCACAGTTGAGGTATCTGGCATATATTTGTTAAACGTAGATCTTGCATCATTTTTTCTTCTGAAACATTCATTAGGTTAGACAACATATTGAGACTACTTTTGCTTTCAAGACTTTGAATAAACTTATATATCATACATTTCTTGTATTTCAGTCTTGACAAAGATGTGAACGAGGTGCAATAATAATCCAACATTTCAGCAGTAGTCCTTTGAAATAAAACATGTTAAACAAGTTTAAAGGGCTCAAAGGAGAGCTCGCTGGTTATTTGGAACGTCTTCAAAAAAAAAAATGAGATTCAGTTGTTAAGTACAGTGCATTGTTAATAGATAATTTAAAGGCTCAAAACAATTTGCACCTATTAAAATAATTTTGGTACAGAGACTTTCCTTCTTACCTAGTACCGAAGCACTAGCGACATCAATGGTTTTTACCTGGGGGGGGGGGGGGGTGGGGGGGGGGGGGGGGGGGGGGGGGGGGGGGGGGGGGGGGGGGGGGGGGGGGGGGGGGGGGGGGGGGGGGGGGGGGTAGACAAGGAAGTTTCAAAGGGGCATCAAGCAATTTCGATATTATACTAAAACTTGTTTAGTTTAATTATAAATAAAACATTAACAGTTATAAAAACAAAATAGCACTGTCAACTTGGTATAGAGAGTGATTTTTTTTTTTTTAGTATCCAGAAGCCATGAGGTGTTAACCCTTAGGCTCGGTATTATGGATATCGCAACCCTTCGGCCTTGATTTCTGATAGATACTAAAAATCTGGAGAAAATGTGGTATTTCTGCCTACCCCCGGGCATAAACCCGGACCCCAAGGAGTTCATCACCCAGTCGCCGATAAGTCAGGTTTAGCTAACTACGCTAGCGAGCCGGGCAGAGAGTGATCACTTTTGTGCTATGCCCAACACCAGATCAGAAATAGCTAAAATCATCAAGACAAAACAGTGTCAGCCATCACATTTATATTAATCATTATTTTGGGATTATTTCTTTTACGTTATTTGACACTTTGATTTATGTGGTTGTTGTTCTCCAAGATTTTGTTAATAGCTGTTAGGAGTTTTCTTTGTGTCCTCTTTTTAATCACATTTCTTAATCAAAGGGGGAAGGAGGGGGGGGGGGGGGGGTGGCGGACATTAGTGTCTTGCCAGATATTCTTCCTATTCTTCTTCTTAGCATTCATCGGCTGTAAACTCCGGCGGAAATTTCTGGTGGTTGTTTGTCTACTTCTTGGTCTTTGGTCCTGTTTCAGCACTTGTGTTTTGCATGCAAACAGACCATTGGTTCCTTGCCTCTCAGAGAGATGCGCTCTGACTTTCAAGGAAACATTCCTGATTAGTTGCATTGTACAACATGTTTGTTGGGGGCAGTAGGGTCTATTCTGTTATCCCAAGGATTACATCCTTACTGTCTAAGTGTTTGCTGAATTAACATATTGAGTTACTGCAGAGCAGCCAGGGACTAGATGGGAAATACTCATCACAGAAAACTATATAGCTGAGTGGAGAACTTTCTATATGAACTCTACATGCCAGCATAGAAAAGGAGCATCATAGATAATGACATATTAGCTCTTAAACTTGTGGTTCTGTTATTTTCAATAGACTGGGAACACCATCTGCTTGAGGCCTTAGGGGATAGCAAGGCACATCGATGGAAAGAGGTGGCTCCTGGATGGCACAAGCAGAATTGACTGTAAGAAATGTTTGTGCTGCTGACAAGATAGCATATGGTGAGGAATGGATCACAGTGTTGCCCTGCAAAAGATTTACATAGAGTGATAGTTAATTTAGACAGAGGATGCCAAGAATGGATACCTGGTGAAACAGAATCAGCGGTGCAAGAGCAGATCATTGAAAATTCACACCCAGGTGACATCATTTTTTGCACAAATTGGTCTGTTATTATAGGTAAGAAGAGTTGGTGGGGTTTTATTGTCTTGCATACATTGTAACTACATCCAGTATGAAACTAGAAGTGGAGGCAGTATCGGCAGCTTTCCAATGACTTTCAAGCAGCACAGCCCCACATGATGTAATTGTAATGGACTCAGAGCATGCTTTGGAAAAGTGAAGCTGGCATCCTGTGTGCAAAGTGGCTTGCATCACTTAATAATACTCAGATTAGGAGTATATCATAGATTTTCTGTCCAGGACATTCCGACAGGCAAGGTAAAGAGCAGGTTAAAATAGAGGTTGCTGCCTCTCCTCTGGGCAGTAAGCTTCTTTATGATAAAGCAGATATGGTGAAGGATCTGAGGGAGAAAATGGACAGAGAATCCATACACTGACTAATTCATTGGAAGGTGAGTAGAGATTCTGGAAGATATTCAACACTAGGAGGGAAACATAGGTAGACTTTCAATCAGGTTGCAACTGGTACTTTTAGCATGTTGACTCTTCACTGTCTACTGAAGAAGGGGATGGAACAAATATGGGAATATACCAAGTGCAGTGATGTCAGTTCTTGATTGATTGATTCATTCATTACTTTTATTCCTTGTAGATGAGAAAACAGGAGAACAGCATAACTAGAATGTCTTTGCATTGGAACCCACAGGGGCATAGGAATAAAGGAAGGCCAAAAAACACATGGAGAAGAGAGCTGGAGAATGAGGTTAGAAAGATTGGGAGGACATGGGGAGAGCTCCATGCAATGGCGAAGGATAGAACAACTTGGCGTGAGTGGTTGAGGGCCTATGCTCCATTGGGGGATAGAAAGGCAAAAGAAGAAGAAGAAGATGAAAGGAATATGAAATGATTTGAGAAATTATGTGTTTACACTTAGAGATCTGTGTAACAGTACAGTTTTGTATACTTCGTCATGACAGCCTCAAAACAGTATGCCTGATGTTATCATTTGGATGCTTTGTGGTCAGAAAAGGATGGCATATTATCGCATTCCAGCTTATGAACTTCTGTATTCTGAAAGCGAAGATATGAGAGGGAGAAGCTGTGGAAAAATCATGTCATTAGCTTTGAAGGTAAGTGATACCTGAAATGAAATGTATCTTTCTCTTAGTAAAATAGTGTTGATTTACTTGTTTTTCCCACAGTCTAGTATTTTGAGCAAATGTACTGTAATATTTACCTGGTAAGCTATTCATAATTATCCTCCCTTGCCAACTAATATTTACAACATGCTCTTCCATATCTCGTGACCTCCAACACTGTCTGTTGCCTAATGTGCTGATTACTCTCCATGTCAAGAATGAGAGGCTACCTGTATATTCGTTTTTCTGATCTGATAATGTGGCTGAAAGTGCTCATTGATTCACTGATGTGTTCACTGATGTTTCTGATTGTCATTTATGCCTCATTCTCTTTCTTCTTCTTCTTCTTTTTCTTAGTGTTCACTGGCTGTAAACTCTGGTGGAAAGATCTGGTTGTTTGTCTACAGTAAACTCTTATGATCCTCATTTAGCCTAGTGTTTGGCTTCATTGCAGCATCCATAACATTTCTAGTTTTTACTGGGTTGTTATTTTCTTCTCTGAAAAAAAAGAAAAGTAAAAACTGCTTTCCTTAGCAGTAAAAAAATTAGTGTACAGGCTATCACTTGTTTTATTGCACGTCTTCAGGGATTGAATACTTGTCCTATGATGTATGAGATTAACTTTCTGATCCCTTGGTTAGCTCTCCTCTGCTATAGTGTGATGGGTAAATTCGCTTTAATCTAGCAAATGCACTATGTGCATTCTACAGAGGGAGTCACAAACAGTGAAAAATCATAAAAGATTATATTTCTCCCAGCCTTGCTGGTTAAATGAGAGTATTAGGGGTTTGCCCACATTTGATTCCCTACTGTTAATAAATTGTATATTTAAATGTATTAAAATATACTGGCTATTGTTCACTGACACAAATGTTTAGTTAAAATAACTCCATAACACTAGAAGAAACATTAAAACAATCATGTATTGAAAAAGTCAAACTAATGATTAAACTGGCTGTAGAGATAAAATCTTTTTACATGAGAATAGTAGACAAATCTGTCCACTTAGCTGTAGCTCGGGTTCCTTTGGTCAGCTTCTAGCCTCTGAGACAAGGCAGGCAGGTCGAATCTTCTAGTCTAGTCTAGACAATTGGGGATCTGCAGCTACGCTGAAATTTACTTCTGGAACTCCATCTGGAACTACCACTTGGACCTAGAACAATAGAACAGTCCCTATACAAGCAGTTTGAAAAGTTCTCACTGGAGACATCAGTACCTCCAGCTCAAACTGTTACACTACGCACACATATGGAGTAGGATAGTAACAGATGTTAACATTCTACTGGTATAGAATGGGAATAAAGAACATCAGTTTCATGACTGCTTTCAAGTACAAGAGTCACACAATAAGAAAGGACATTCATCAGTGCGAATTATACTGATGTCTTTACACTAGTATTCCTTTAAGGGGTTAACATGCTTACACACACAGTCACATTTCACAATAGATTCTCATTTCAACCACCTGGGTTCACATCACAAAGAATGAGAATCAGGGAGTGAGTTTACATGAGCCGGAAACTCATAACAGGTGCTTGCGCAGTTTAAAAATAAATGGGATTGATATATCTCCATCAATATAACTGGGTGCTGGGATAGATGTCATAATACAATCATAGATGACAATGGGCTTTCCATCTGTCACAGTATTACCATAAAATATACAACACTAACTCCAGTTTAAATCTGAATCCATACATGGGCTAAATCTTATTCAGTAGAGTTTAGAAGTTAAGAGGGGTGAAATATAATGATTAAAATTATAAGGCCACCTGCTGTGGTACTGAAAATATATTCATAGTAATGGGTAAATATATATACTTATTACAAGCATGGGCATAACACCTCTCTTCTTCTTCTCAGACAGTGTGAATATTACATTTAGCCACCCTGTGTTATTCACTTTTTCAAGCTCTTAAACCAGTTTCAGAAATATCTGGACTAAATCTAAATTAAAGCCAGACAGTGATTTATCAAGCTAATATCACCATGAGGTCAAATCAACTTAGTAAGGATTAGG